CAGATGCTGCCCAGGCTGAATGAAAGACTGCCGTCTTAAGAGGGTGATGACTTGAGAGTGAGTTTGTGTAAGCATGTACACACACAGGCACACACACTCTTTAAGTATGGCTGTATGGTGTGTGTGATCCCAGGCCTCTCTCAGAGCGTCCATCGTCATCCTGCCGGCTCTTCATTTGACTTCCAACCAGATAAAAATCATGACTCTGAACCTGAGGTGACTCTCCAGTCTACGTGGAATAACCTTGTAGTAAAAAAAAACAACAACAAAACGCAATAACACAACAACGAAACAAAACAAAAAAATAGGCGGCTTTGTTGCTTTCCACTTGGACCGGCACATAAACTACAACACGCTTCATAAGCAAACAGGCAGTCCCCAGCCTAAAAAACTTACAGACTGAAGATAAAATGTCTTATCGAACAAAGTGGACTCTTAAGCACATGACTTCCTCAGCACAAGTGGATGGTGGATGTGCAGTTTCCCTGTGGACGACAAAAATTGCACTTTGGCTTTAGCTGAACAAACGGATTTTAAGAAGCATTTACCAGCATAAACTGGGCCCAAAGTGTTGGACACCTGGACCTGAGCTACAGCAAAGACTGTTGAGACTTGTCTTCCTGGGATTTGGGGATGGGTGTAGCAATGATGCACCACGGTTGTCAAACATACTCGAGACACTGTTTTATAGACTACATTCTATTTAATAGTCATGAACTCACAGCATTAACAAAACATGTAGCATGTATGCTGTAGTAGTAAGTCCTGTCTTGGCCTACTGCTAAGCTAAGCCATGTTTATTCTCTTCTTCCACGGCTTGAACTTTTAGCTTTTAGGTTTCGGTCTAAATCTAAATAACTTGCACAATTAAAGTCAATAGCGATTGACTGTAGGCATGTTAACACAGAAACTAGAGCATCAACACTCAAGTTAATGTATTGTACATAAATATACTGGAAATATTTAGCAGAACAAATACCTAATACATATTATAACTACTTGTGTGACCTGCTGGGGATAAGAAAACATTTTTAAGCTATGACAAATGATATGCAAAAAGAAAAAAGAGATGTAACTACTTTGTAGCTTTTAGCATGAACAAATGAGATTTTTATGAGGTAGCGATGTAGATTTGAACCGAGGGTACTGCTTTAGAGGGCGTGCTAGGTGACCCTTTCCTAGAGATTGTAAAAAGAATTTAAAGGAATAGTTTGACATTTGGAAAATAGGCTTACTCTTGCTGGGCATTAGATTAGAAAATCAATACCACTTGTGTTGGAGTGATATGGAGCTCGAGCATAGAAGCGAATAGCATAAAGACTGGATGCGGGGGACACCGCCAGCCTGAGTCTGACCAAAGTTCACCTGTAAAGCTTACTAATTAACACATTGTTGGTGAACAACAGTTGCGTGCAGTAATTTCCTCTTTAGTCGTCATGGCCAAACATGCAAAATTGAACAGTTTGTGCAAGGTAATGCACACAATGACGCACAGCACACAGTTCTATGAAGCAGCTGACTTGGACACTTCAGACTACATTGGAATGTAAATAATCACAATTTGAGTTTTTCTAACCTGGTATTCCTGTCCTCTTGACTTTTTAAACTGTTGATTAAACAAATGTGCCAATTTTTGAGCTTAAGACACGCAACTTTGAAGAAAGGTTACAGTTGAGCTGTTTTCCCGTGCTTTCAGTCTTTATGCTAAGCTAGGCCAATCGCCTCCTTGCTCTAAACCCACATAAATGAGCGTCTATTGATCTTGTGATCTAACCCCTGGAAAGAAATCGAAAAAAGTGCATTTCCCAAAATGGTGAACTACTCTTTTTAAAAAAACAAAGAAAGACTGTGCTTCCTTAATTGATTCGAGCAATGACTTTAGTTGCACTGTAGCAGTGGGGGTGGAGACGGTCCGACATCCCCAGACTCAATGTTTGTTAAACTGCTAAATAAAAATCTAGAGTCTTCTTATGCATTAAATCACTCTTAAATTATTATGTTGTAGAATGTAGTTTGCAATATAAGATGTTATCAATTATAACAATAATTTGAGTACATTTTGAGCCTTCAAACTAATGAATATGTGTATTGACAGTACTGTATTTACACATATCTTTAAGTATATAAAAATCTAATATCTGGGTGGTGGTTTTATTAGCAATATATTAAGCTTATGCAAGTAGCAGTTTGATTCCTTAGGATATGGGTTGGATGATTTGATTCTACAGGAAATCTCTGGCACGTTCACCAATGTGAAAAATAAGACATTGCATTATAAGCGTGTAGGAAGGCTGCGTTTGCGGCCGATGGGGGCCGATGATATTCTCTGATTGAATCCAGATCTTTTCAAGAGAGAAATGTTTACCAAAGCACTGTTTGATTAACACTGATTTCCTTCCGTTATGGAAAGAGCTCCAGGGCCCAGGTCCAAACGATCGTCTCCTTCCTATTCTGACATCCTCTGTTTGTTCTGAAAAAGGAAAAATGAAGAGGTTTTGGGACAGGGCTGCAGACTGGAGTGCTAACATTTGAATCTGTGGCCTGTGCAATGTTTTGCTGTGTTCTGTTCACTTACTTCAGTTCGTGGACGAAGATGTTTTAATTTATTTGTCCTGTTTATGTTTTCCTCATAGAAGTGTATTTTAGCATGTTTTGCCCATTGTGAAGTAAATGGGGGTGCTGGGTGTATTTTTGGGACCAGCTGTATTGTACTGTATAAATCTATGACTTCACGCTGGTAAAACACACACTACTGCTTTACAGGCTTTTCTGTATTCAATCTTCACTGTCCAACTTACATACTGAACAAGATGAAGCAAAGCATGTAGACATCTGGGCACTGTTTAGACGAAGGCAATCTGACCAAAAATCTAAACAAACAGCATTAATTAGATTTTTGTTTTATACAGTCTTGGGGGTGCCACTGGAATAATTTAACTTTTGGTAAATAAATCAGTCACATATGTGATTTTAAAAGTTTGTTTTGATTCTTTTTCAAAACTTTTTTACAGTTATCATGCATCGTTTCTTTTTGTCTTAAACAAATTAGTTCATTTTAAAAGACTGTAAGCTTTTCCTATTGTTGTTTTTTTTAGTTTCCATTTAATGATCGCTTAAATTTAGCTTGAATTTAAATCGATTTCAATTAGTCAGTCTATCGTAAAATGTGACTGAACAATGCCCCTTACAGAGTCCATGCTGATGAATAGACAAAGATATTGAATTTACACTGATAAAGACAAAGAAAAAACCTGCAAATCCTCACACACAGATGCTGGAAGTTTTTGATGGATAAATTACTCAAAACAATCAATTATTAAAATTGTTGCTGATTAAGTTTCTGTCAATCAGCTAATCAATTAATTGACTAATTGTTTCAGGTCTCAACAAATTAATTCTTAAGGCTGTAGTTAAGTTAAAACTATGAAATCGGTAAATTTCATAACTTTAATTCTAGGGCTGAACAATGAATTGCATTTGCGATATTATCGCGATGTAATAAAAGGAGATTTTGTTTTGTTCGCAAAGGCTGCGATTACACTCTGGTCACATGACACCCAGGAAGAAAGCAGTGACGTTACGCTGTACCTTGCCTTCTTGCTGACCTTAAGCTTGACAGAAGCTGACACTACACAAACTTTAGTGTCACACTGGGAATGAAAGTAACACCCGCCAACCGCGGGTAACTTGGTGGTGGGTGAAATCGTCGGGTCATCCGCGGCTTTGATGGACAGGAAAAATGCACAACAGAAAGACACGTACAGTAAGGTAAGCGTGTTGTGGCGATCGGCGCCTGCGTCACACACACAGCCACCAGTCAGCTCAGGAAATATCTGTGAAACGGCGTTTCAAACCAAGTCCGAAAGAGGCCCGAGTTACAGCCCGTGCGCTGCTCACCGGCAGCGGGGGAGGGGAACTCCGGTGTTGTCGGAGAATTACTAAGCTTATCTGTTAAAAACGAGAGGCGTCACTTGGTTTCATTTTCGTTGTACAACTTTTGAACTGAACCTCAAACTGAGTATTTTTTGTTTGCTTACTGGGATATAGAAAGATGAACTCCTACGAGATTTGAACTGGGATAAAGACTCATTTATTGGAGATTGAACTGTAGGTTCAACCACCAGGTAGGCCGACCTTATGATATTATATCATATTATTTAATGCCATGACTTGACTCAAATTATCTTTCTCATATTATTATAATTTGATACATCTTCTCCACCATTGCTCATAATAATAATTCTACCTAATTCATCATAACACAGGCCTGACCCACAAGAAAGAACAGTGTAGTTCTATCTAGCTAATATTGTGTTGGTCATACTATACACTGATTTATTGCTTGTCCATTTTGAATACAGAAGGTAAAGAGCCTTAAAAATTAATCGCAGTCGCAATATTGGTTAAAAAAAAAAAACGTATAATGTAACGCAATTACATTATTTTCCAAAATCGTTAAGCCCTAATTAACACCATCAGTCATTATATATAAATGTACAGTGTCACTTGAATGCATCTGATTAAGAAGTGTATTATTCCATTGGCACCCTCAAGACTCTGCGGTTTTACAGTTATAGATCAAATAAGATCTAAGCTGTTGTGTGGACTAATGTATATTTTTTATTCAAGTTATGAAGGTAAAATACTTGTGGTACACAAACGTAAAGGTAGGAAAGGGGTAGTTTGAGCCAAATGTCAAATGATGCACTGCAGATGTTTGGTTGCTCGTCTTTTTAATTTATCATTTTGTGTGATTTGCTTTGAGCAGGAATGTTTTCTAATGAAAATCTATAACTTCTGGAGTGGAAAAGATTAAAAATTATACTGAGGAAGTATGTTGTTAAATATAGGGGTAAACACATACATCTTGTTAGGGATATTGTGAAGCTGTTTACTGTATGAAGGTGAATAAAGTTTTTTTTTTCTTAAAAATGTCTTACATTTTGTTCATTATGTTTCACGCCATTTACCTTTTGATAATGACAAGACAGAGAATTCACTTTCACATTGTGGTAATAACTTCAGATTTATTCACAAAATAAAGCTTGACAGACATATAAAAAAAAAAAAAAGGATTTTGCAGTGTGACATTTGCACTCATATAGCAATTACAAAACAGACCACAGCCAAGAATTGAGAACAGAAATCTGTCAAACGGAATTTGGAGACAAATACGTAGAAAACCAAACCGGGCTTAGATCTAGAAGCTGCCCCATGCTCACATTCTTATTGATATATCTAACCCTTCCCCATCACCTTACAGGTTTCCATTAAAGTGCCTTTCAGATTTGTGTCCCTTTTCACTCAGTATCAAACACATAACTGTACATCATAGCAAAGCACATCATCATTACAGTGAAATAAATAGCTTCAAGGGGACCTATTATGCTTTTCCATTTTTTCTGTCATATGTATAATGTTCATATCAGATATATATGTTAAATGTGGCCAATGCTTCAAATAATGAGGTAAAAGTATTTAAAAGAAACCCTGTGAGCCAAAACCTCAGATTTCCCCTGTTCTGAATGCTCTGGTTTCAACAGTTATTTTCTACTAACGGCTCCTTAGGATGTCATACAGTGCCGGTTTTCCCTATATAGTAATTTGCTCCAGGCACAGAAAACCGGCCCCACCCACAAAGGAGCGCGCAGCCCCATCTTCCTGGTAAACACGCCATGACCTTTGAATTGTGCAAAAGGTACCATAGAGGAGTCACAGAACTACAATATAGGTCTGGAAATGCAGTATAATAGGTCCCCTTTCAGTATCTCAGTACTATGTTGCAGAAATGTACTACACTTGTTTTTACAAACCTCTCAAAAATTTTAAATGATAACATTAAGTTGACATTACTTTCTAATAACAGAATGTTCAAGAAAACCTGAAAATTTTCCAATTAAAAGGTAATAGCAGAGATAATACAGCATTGCGACATGTTTGACTGTAAGACTTACTTTCGGGTGGCCATTACACACAAGTCTCTGAATCAAAATATTTTAAAATAGTGCAATGTGAAATTGTATAGCTATCCCTGGTCAGTACAATGTTTAAAGTGCCAAAAACTACAGACTTACACCCATTCTTGTTTGGTAACAGGTCAACTCCAACAGTTATATTTGGGCCAAAGGAGACAAATTTGAGAAAACTGTCATAACCCCCTGTCATACACAAAGTATACTTAAGCCATCAGCTCTCATATATGAATTTCTGCAACTGAATGCGACTGAACAAATAGGCTGAATTCAAACAATAGCAGTTGGACGGACTGTTCATCACACCTGTACCTGGCATAGAAACTGATCTGTTATAATAAAAATGTTCCGCTGCACCTTTTCAGGGTGAAAAGTACAACCAACTAACTTCAGTCATGAATTATAGCCATTCTCATTTTGGACCTTTTGCTACTACTGTGAGCGGGAAACCTTAAAAACAAAATTAGGTGATGACATCATTTAACGACTTTTAGGACGGCCAAATGCAACTTGGAGTTGGCAACACTGAACCTTAGTGTGGGTCATTTAAATGCTAGCTTTTGAGTGCCTGAAGATGACTTGTTGATTATTCGCTAAACAAAACTAGCATTATTATATATTTTAAGTTGTCGTTTAACAAATCAAATTAATGGATAGGCTTTGGCTGTCAGTATCCTTCATTGCTCTGGTCCACTTCCATACTTCGCCTTCATCGTGGTCACATCTAATCGCATTTGCACTGATTCCTTCTCAGGAACCAGTTTAAATGTTGAAAACAGTCATCTTTTCCATGTTGTTCCTTATTCAAACCCTTACTGTAACTCTTTCAGAGACCAAGCATTTTAGCAATAATGCCTCACTCCTCAGATAGCGTGTTTTTTTTTTTGCCACTTCCCTTCAAGCTAGCTAGGTGACTAAGGCATTGAATGGCACTCTTGTCTCGTCGTCTTCCTCTTCTACAACAGACCTTGGGTCGGGCCTATCGGGACAGAAAATTAGTCGCAGCAAAGCTAGCCCGGCACGCACCAACAGCCTCAACACAAGAAAAGCAAAAGGCACTGTAATCTCCATCAGGTGGAAAATTTGGGCGCTAAATTTACTCAAAATACATGTTAGGAAAAATGTCCCCAGAGCTACACAGGGGTACAGAGCTAGCTTGGCTAGCATAAACACATGCTCACGCCCGCCATATCGTACATAAGGATGCAGAGTTTCCTGTTCACTGTAAAGAGCGACCACCCAAATAGTGAGCTGGAATATACCAGCAAAGAAAATGATCACACAGCTAATCTGAATGGCTTCCAATTCGTTGCGAGAGTTGTGTGGGAATTCGTGTGTTAGCTGGTAGGCTAAAGGCAAACCTCCAACAAACGCCAGTGAGAATGTGTTCAGGAGGCCCATAAAGCGAGTTGTCTTGGTGACATGGAGAAAGAGCGAGTGGTGCACAAACCAAAGAAGGCCTACTGTGGCGAAGGAACCAAAGTAAGCGAGGAACTCTGGGCCGTAGACCTGCAGAGCTGCTATCAGGCTACCGCCAAACTGGTTCTGCACAACGGTTGGGTCAGGAACGTTGTCTTCGCTAAAAGGAAATAACCATAGAGGACAAATGTTAAGGGTTTTTCAGCACATTTTTCTTAAAGAACTTTAAACTTTAAAAGTGTTGGATCAGACCATTTCAAAGCAGCATTTTGAAGATAACACAAAAAAATAGGGTAGCTTTACGTGATGGAGACCTTTGACTGGTGCATAAACAGTAAATCCAATGTGTATAGAATTGATATGATGCAGATAAATCTGATCAGATAAACAAAAAGCAATGAAATTATCTGTAGCAGTCATGATAAATATGTTGTCATAGTCCAGGCAGGCATTTAAAATGTCAATAACTGTATTCGAACAATTGTTATAAAAAATAAAGTGAGTATCCTGCACATCCCCTCTGTCTCCATGTATTTCACATGGCTCTCCATGGCTTCCGTATATTATTTATACCCAAGGCATTAACTCAATTAAACGTGTTTTTGCCCGGTTGGTTCTAATCCTGGGGTATCTCTACCTCCGACCGGCAGGGAGTGGCTGGAACTCCACTGAAAGTGGATGGGGTGTATCTTCTTTCTCAGTTAGCCTGGTCAGGTACAGGTGGGACAGGTCAACCTGCTTTTCCCCCATGATTTTAGCATACAATATCACAGGATACCCTTATTAAAAGAATTGTGAAAATTTTGTCATCATTGTTAAAAAAAGTTCAGTTTTCTAAGGAAGCAAATTTGCCCCTTCTTAAAAATAGCATCAGCATGTTGGTCCCAGGAGAGTTTGTGATTTATAAGGCCAAGCTACGTCTACTCCGTCACCACTTCAATCTCCTAGTTAATAATCCTAGTTAGAGTGTGAGGTGGAGCATAACGTCGAGGGTCGACAAGGTCATGGTCTCCTGGTGCTAGTTTTGTGAGCTCATAGCTTTGTGATTTAACATCATAACACTGTCTGACCTCTTTTCTATACAAAATAGTGTGTATAGAAAATATTCATTTGCCCTATGTCTACCCATTCAAGGAAATAAAGTGAAACAAACCATATATCCAGGATGAGAAGTGTTGCTACGATGGCGTAAACTCCATCACTGAAAGCTTCCACTCTGTCCTTACTGAGGGGCTCGTTAGGCAGGTAGGTGTAAAACAACATGGAGTCTGGAGTCTCCTCCACCTGACCTGGAATGGACAAGATTTGGTTTTTAAAAGGTGGTGCACATGACACAAGTCATTCTGAAATAAATCAGCACCCAAAGAGTGTCTGGCCAGAGGTCCGCACATGTTTGATTTGTTTCTCACATCTGTCATGATGGAAATAAAGTGCTTACCTATTGCTTTGCTGCGACACCACTTCAAACTCTGGGAGATGTACGGCAGGAAGATGACAATTGCCAACAGCATGTAAGACTGAAAGACAAAATGAAAATGTCACTGCACAGTAGAGGTGTACAGCAGCAAGAGTTCAGAGGTTGATGTAACTTTGAAAGACTTGTCTCAAAGGGAAATTTGTGCTGAAATAATTACTCAGTTAATCGCCATTAATCAAGCAAAAATCACCAAATTTGCTTGTTCCAGCTTCTCAAATGTGAAGATTTTCTCTGTTTTATATAATTATAAACTGAATATCTTTGTGTTTTAAAATGTTGGTCACACAAACGATGACGATGACACCTTGAGCTCCAGGAAGTAGTTTATTTTAATTTAATGATTAATCAAATAACTAATCAGTATATTCAACTATAATAAATTAATCAGTATTTGCAGCCCTGAAACATATTACAAGATGAACAGATCCCTCACATGGTAAATGTAGCATCCTGAAACAGTTGAAGAAAAGAGTAAATGCCACCTACCAGCGGGAAGAAGATGAAGGAGAAGATGCTGGCGAAGAAGCACATGAGGGGAACCCGCATGATGACTTTGAGGATGTGGTGTTTGTAGAAGGTTTGGTTCTCTGAGATCTGGATCTGCTCGTTCAGCAGGAAGGGACGGCTGAAGGCGTACAACACAATCACCGACTAGAGAAACAAGACGTAGGATTATGACGTATGTGATTACACAGAATTGAAATACAGTATTTCAAATAAGTGAGTACACCCCTCACATGTTTGTAAATAAATAATGGTTCAAATCAAAGTGACAACTGGGGCACTGGATAGGCAACACCAAGACAACCCCCAAAAAGAAACTGTTTTGCCGGTGGTGGCCACAGACTAATGTTCTCTCCTTATCCTTCCTGACTGATTGTTCTCTAGTTTGGCATTTTGCTAGTGTCCTTGTCACTACTGGTAGCATGAGGCGGTACCTGCAGGCCACACACAGGTGTTGCACAGGTAGACCAGCTGGCACATCCATATGTGCCCTCGCAAGACGGTTAGATGTGTCTCCCAGTATAGTCTCAAGAGCACGGAGGAGATACCAGGAGATGGGGCGTTACTTGAGGGGAGCTGGACAAGGCCATAGAAGGGAATCAGCCCAGCAGCAGGACCAGTATCTGCTTGTTTGTACAAGGAGGAACAGAAGGGGCACTGTCAGACTATCAAATGGCCTCCAGCGGGCTACTGGTGTGTTTCTGACCAAACTGTCAGTAACAGACTTCATGAGGATCTGTCCTCACAGCCCAGCACCGTGCAGCTCAATTGGCATTCGTAAGAGAACGCCAGAATTGGCAGGTCCGCCATTAGTTCTCTTCACAGATGAGAACAGGTTCACACGGAACACATGTGACAGACGTCAGACGTAAGATCTTCCAGCATGACCGGTTTGGCGGTGAGTCAGTGATTTTCTGGGAAGGCATATCCTTGGATGGCCACACATACCTCCATGTGGAACCCTGACTGCTGTTAGGCACCGGGGTGAAATCCATTGTCAGACCTTCCACTGGTGCAGTGTTCCTGGGCTCCTCTTGGTGCAGGACAATAGCCGGCCTCATATGGCCAGAGTGTGTAGGCAGTTTCTGGATGACAAAGGCATTGATGCCATTGACTGCCCCTCACGTTCCCCAGACCCGAATCCAATTGAGAACCCCTGGGACGTTACGTATCAGTGCATCCAATGCCGCCAAGTAGTGCCACAGACTGTCCAGGAGCTCACTGATGTCCTGATCTGGGAGGAGATCCCCCAGGATGCCATCTGCCGTCTCATCAGCAGCATACGCAGACGTACATACAGGCACATGGGGGTCATAGACACTACTGAGTCACATTATGAGTCGCCATGATGAAAGTTCAGCCTGTGATTTCAATTTTTGGGATTTTCAATGCGATTTTGTATCCAGCCCTCAATCACTTGGTGATGTTTGGTTCCATTGACCGTTGTTACATCATTTTATTCTCAACGTATTATACAATGTACAGTAAAGATTTTGAACTTTAAACTATTTTGTTCCCCGATATCTGATGTGTGATTTAAGTGTTCCCTAAATTCTTTTGAGCCGCATAGTTCGACTAGAAAAAAAGATAAGATGTAGTGTTTAATTAACAGGCAACAGTTGTTCTCCAAAAGGACAAAAAAGGAATAAAACACTGTAACTGCCTCACCTGAATGACGCCCATCACCATCACACAACCACAGAACAGTAAAATCCCGAGGACGTTTTTAGGGAAGGTCGCCATCAGAGAGAACTGCAAAGACACGCTGTGCGTTACAGAGCTTCAATGACATCAGTCAACTAAACATTTATTTGTGCAAACAGTGTGAATGAATCAACTACCGCTTAGCCACTGCAGTGACTCATACTCACTGTGTACGGTAGAAAGGTTATCAGCATCATGCAGGCCTGAAAGAGAACCGAAAGCAGAACTTCACATTAGAAAGAAGGAAACATGCTCAGCAGAGAAAACATCTTTCATTCACAAGTAAAATACTTAAAGTATTAACAGCACTGAAGACATGACTCTTTTCTCTTAGCAGGCTTCCATACAGAGGGAAATTGGCTGGATTCTTGATATTTTATTGAGTGTTAATTATGATATATTTGTGAAGGAAATCAGTTACCAGCATGCACTGATTTTTGTGGCACATATTGAATGTCTGAGTTCATGTGCATGCCTAAGCCTTTGTCATGCTAGCTGAAGTTGGATTTTAAACTAATCAAGGTTAACAGAACAAGGTGACCATGGCTAATTAAATTGTAAACCAGAGAGATAATAAAAGCACAAGACATCAAATATACAGGGACTCAGTCCAGCTGTGTTTTTGAACATCTCAGCCCTGTTCTGTGCTCCATATGGAACATAGACATGTAGGTTCAATGTAACCCAAAAGAAGAATATTCATCTAGCATCCATTTGTGAGGTAAAAAAACATATTGGGTACATACATACTTCTATAAAAAAAACTTCTTAATGAAATATTCAAGATACTCAAAATGATTACTTCTTAAAGATAGACTTCAGTTAACACTCTCAAATAATGCCATGTTACTAAACACGCTGTGATCTCGCTGATACTCTACTTACAAGATTCAGCAGTGCAAGGCAGTCATCAATGCGTACAATCACTTGAAATAATCTGTGAATCACAAAGAAGGAGGAAGTGATAAATAATAAACCTTAAACATGCTGTTAAACTACTACTTCCATAATGATACTAATAATACTATATAATAAGAGTGATAATAAAAATAACTCACCTGATATGAGCAGCCCATGCAACAGTCACAATCAGGAATGTCATTAAGTAAACAGCAATCTTTGTTGTCAGCAGAAGCTGAAAACTCTCCCTCAACTCCTGCAAGACGGACGAACACATATTTAGAACATGTTGCCTATTTTAAAGTCATTGCATGTGCGCAGTATTGCGCAGATTGGTAGTAGCTGTAACTGGAGTTTCGATGACCTTGACCCAAACTTGAAGCAAACCTAAACAGTAGTATGAAGAAGAAAATAATGACATGTGACACAGCTACTGCTATTGTCAAACATTACCTCATTATCTTCCACCTTTGTATGGGCAACGGGTAAAATCTGAATAAAGGAAAATAAAGGAAACTGCATTAGGAGAAATATCAACTGTGCAGAGAAAGACACATGATACAGCATCTGTAGAGACCAGATTCCCAACTGACCAGTAAGACTGGTCTCTGTGGGTCAAGGGCAATGCTACGAATATATAAAAACTTTACCGGACTTTCTGACTTTGAAGATGTCTGGTCAAAAGAATATTATTATGTGGTGGTTAATGAATGTTCTTTAATTTAATTGTATTTATTTAGTACAGTACTTTTGCACTTTTAAAAACTGCAAACATTTTTACCTCTGCCATGTTTGTATACCCTGTAAAGCACATTGAACAGCCTGGGTGTAAGAATTGTGCTATACAAATAAAGCTGCCTTGCCTTACCTTCTAAGTGAAACAGGAGAGGTTACTTTTAAACATTTCCTCACACAAACCGCAAAACAAACTAAATTTTAGACACAAATTTCTCCAGGGGTCTTTAATGGTGTTTTTCCTGAAATCTTTAATGATATTTGCGAATATTTTTGCTTGTCTGTGTGGTAATTATTTTGTCTGCCTTACTCATCTCGGCTTGATCTTGTAAAAAAAATAAAACAATCCTGCTTTCAGTGAGACTTAATTGCAGCATAGCTGACTAACTCTGTGTGGCATTGCACGTCATAGTCCCTGGAAAAGTCAGCAAGTATTTGTCTTTCCACGCCATAAAATGTCTTACTCCAACTGAATACTCACCAAACCGCTCTAACATGATCTCAAATTCAATACGTTTACTTGTCTGGAACTTGCCAAATTAACTGTTCATCCCATCAACCCTGTTTGTCTGATTACAACGTGTACTCAGTGATGGAAGAAGCATTCAGCAACACAACACCGTAAATATACTCCAAGTAAAATAATGAAAGTATTGTCAGTAATCAAAAGTAAAAATACTCATTACGCAGAGAAAATGGCACCTTTTGTGGTGCTATAATATGATATTATTGGATTAGTATCACTGATCCATTAGTGTGTAAACAGCAGGTTTATGTTTTTCTACTCTTGGTAGTTTTATCTATTACAATTCATTATGTTGTCTAAGTCCATTATATGTTTTGTAGGTTAAAGATAAACCTGTCAAATAACAAACAGGCCACATTATGCAACCCTAACAGCAGCTGACAGATACTGAGGTAGAATGGTATACTTCCACAGGAGTATAGTATACTATGAAATGTATAATATGAATAATACATTATAAAATGTATAATATGAAATGTAGTATAGTATAGTATAAAGTGGTAAAATTAAGAAAATCAAAGTTCAGTCAATGCGATTGCGCAACATATTTACTAAACTCAGGGTACGGTAATAAAGTGATTCTGGGTTGCAGCTTCTCTGCAGTCCACACAGCAGGCCACTGGGCTGCATCTTGTTCTGGGTGTCTTACCATGACGGTGGCGATGATGGAGACGAGGGCATCGCTGTAGGCCAGCAGTCTGTGGGAGGACTGGGTGCCGCTGTTGCCCTCCCTGTCGGATGGAGTGACGCTCTCCAGGAACGAGGAGGAGGCTGCGTGGCTCCTCGTGCCTTTCTTCTCCATCTCCTCGTCGACGTGGTGCTCTATGATCTCGCTGTCATCGTTGTCCCCCATCGCGGAGGAGCTACAGGACCGCAGAGAACGCAGCTGAGACCATGCACACGCCGGATGGAGATGTTTGCAAACAACTGTTATCAGCTGACTGAGGACGGGGAAACAGGAAGCAGCTGCCCGGTTGTTTTCCTGTTGTCAGCAAAGATCGTTGATTGGTGGAAGAGTAACCACTCGGTGGGTTAAAAAAAAAGGATCCGAGGTAGTATTACTATATAAAACCTCTCTGCTAATACTAATTACATAATGATTCAGTTTTCCTTTCTTTCTTTTGGATTTTTAAGCCAATATTTATTTTTTGATTTGTTTTGGACTGGTGTCATTTTGTTTAATAATTTAATTTTGTCACATTTTGTGTCTGTCTTTAAAATGCACTGCAGTGTTCTGCTGTGATTATTGCTCCCATCCATCATTGCTTGATAGCAGTCTTTTTGTTTCCTGCATTGTTATGTTTCTTGGCAGTGGAATCGTGTGACCATTGGTAGGAATTTAAATTACATTGTGTGCATCCTGGACCGTCCTCGTGCGCAAGATCATGACTGTATTAAGGATGTGGAAAACGAAACAAGGGCCCATTCTTAAAATATATTGCTCTATAGTGTTAGCCTAGTCACAAACTCAACCTCAGAGTACCTTTAACACATTTAACACTTTAATTAACACATTTGTAGATATAATAAATAAAAAAATAAAAATGTATGTCAGTTTGTGTCTCGTTTACATATATAATGAACAAATTCATGTTATAATTGCGTGGTATCAGAATTAGCAGGCGGTATCACACTTGCAGCTGCAATATTTATTTGATGATGGTCTCATTTGGTCACATGGTCTCTAGGTGTCCTTTCCCAACAGCGTGTTTTTGATTGCTGTTTTGTTCTTGGATAAACGGACAGAGTGAGACCTCTACATGTTTATCTCCTCTTTAATCTGATAAATATATCTGGACGTGGGTAAATTGTAAGAATGCACATTTAAAGCACATTTAACGGAGTTTACTAAGAAACGCAGAGTTTCAAAGACGCCTTGTTTGCAGGTAAAACAGGTATGAATAATAGGCCTACAATACAAAATACATTTGATGCACAGTAGGGATGTTGCAAGTAACAAATAAGATATAATCTTAATAAACCTTTACAAGTAATAGTATCTCATGAGAAGATTTCGCGGAGGCATTGCACAACAACTCACTATACAGAAAGATAAATGCATGTGGCGCAACAAAGGAGAAACTGGGATTAGTGCTAAGTAAAGTAATACCTCGACCCTGCCACTGGGGGACAGTAGCGGTGTTTGTGTTTTGAATATGTGCATTGGTCACATCAGAGCCTTTTTGTTTAGTTTGTTTACTTAAGAATACTTGTGTGGTCAACACCAGGTTGCAGTGCACGTGATCAAATCTGACACAGCATTTACATTCAGGCAGACAAATGCCACCAGCATGTCTGTAATTCTACACCTGCCAGGAAGTCATTTGTATAATTATTGTAAATTGTTCATCTTTTTATTCAGCGTTCCTGTGGCACCTGAATTATACAGTGGTATCAGCTGTTGCAGTGTTTGGTTGGAGTGAAAGCCAAGCAATCATAATATATGACGTAAAATACATGATAGGAGTATCTCAGTAAATGACATCTACTTACAATTTCACATGTACTACAAATTTGAAAAGAAGGTTAACTGAATTCACAACATTGCAGCCTCCACTGCATTCCTGCTTAAAGTGATTATGTTGCTGTCATTCTACAGCTCTTAGCATACACTTGTGTCCCTATGTGAGTTGTGTACATCTGTAAGAAAAGCCAAAATAAAGTCAACAACACTTTTTTTTTTGAGTTTGAGGTCAGCTACACATACTAAATTATGAGTAGCAACACAATCAGATCAGCTTCCACATCCAGGGAGAGTAGTGAGAGTCCCTGATTTTTAAAAACGGTACACATATCTCAGTGATGCATGACACGCTTGCAAAAAAACTGAAACAGCGATTTGTTGTAGTCTGATATTTGTGTACACATATTATATAGTTTTTTACCAAGTGCAATTAGACATGTGAAGCCCTCTTCTGCCTCTGGAGGGTGACATTATACTGAAGTTGAAGAAGTTAGGAGACTCAGCTCTTTTCTGTGTGAGAACTCAATTGTCCTATAACTCTATCCAGGTTACAATTTATTCCCTTTCTTTTTTCCCAGCTGTCCATTAGCAGAAGACTGCAGAACATTCATTAAAAACAAGGGTGGAGCACCTATGTTATTATGAGTAAGGGCACAAGTTAATAAATAAAGGGAATAAGTATATTATTCACATACATTACATTAGTCTACCATTCTCTGTTGCGATATACTGAACTGTTTTCAAGCTAGGACGACCTTGGAAACAGGATTAGTTCCCACTAAAAACAAAGTAAATACGGGTGACATTGAAATATTTATTGGCAGAAGTGAGGAAAAATACCTTTTAATACACATGATCACGTTCTTCCTCCTCCCTGTATCGCTTCCTTGCTTCATCCCCTCTTGTGTTGACACTTTGCTGCTGGCCCTGTCAGCCTCAGGAGAGCTGGGAGTCAGGGGTCAAGGACAGTGAGGCAAAGCCTGGGGCGAGTCTTGAGTATGGTTTCGGTCCCGGCATTTCTCCACCAGTCTCCTTATACCCAGGTTCGACCAGTGCATCCCGTGCCTTAGGCAGCACCTTGGGCTGTCTCTCCTAATGATGTCTCTGCATCCTGGCGTCCTTTTCCATGAGTCCTCATGCATATTAGTGCTAAGTCTCTCCACTGATGCACCAGGATCCACTTGTTAATCAGGCATTTTAAAAGGACAATAAGTCAGATTTTAGCATCAAAAAATGACTGTAGAACAGCTGTAGGGGTTCACTGCTAATGCTCCAGCTTAGCAGGCACATTCAATACTCACCTTCTGGCCTGCACTCTGCTTTTGAAACTCCCTGTGTGTGAATTATGAAGACAATTTAAATTCAGAAACAGCCACTGCAGAATTCATTCCTTCCATACCTTTGTGTCTCCTTAAATTAACTCTATACTCTCTTTTTTGTTTGATTTGTGTTGAAATACACCCATTTGTCTTTTCTGTATGATAATAACTGTCTACAGTACTCACTGAGAATAGATCCAAGACAATTCAGCATTGCTGCTGAAGATGATGATGATGTTAAAGATGAGATGATGTTAAAACCAGGAGGGGCATCAATGGAAAACCTATGGTGTAAAACCAAAGGTCTGCCTAAAAAAACAAAAACACATTATTGACATTATCACATTGTAAGGCATATATATGTTGGCAAACAGAAGCATATTTGCACATCCGAATTATGCTTCTTCTGACCACCTAATGAATCTCAAAAACTCAATTTCCTTTAACTCTGTGGTTCTATACCAACTGTGGAAAAAAAGATATGCCCCTTGAGCTGCTAAATGCACCACCATGTTCACTAGCGAGTGGCTATCTTTATACTGTTTGCCTTTTGTTGCTGGCCAGGTAGCATGTTCATCTGAGCATTTTCACTGATAACAGTTGTCAGCTGCGGTGGGAATACGGCTGTGGAGTTTGCGAGAGACTGGTTTTACATTAAACATTGTCATTTGATCCGTTGTTAATATAAAGGTAATGATAAATGCAGCTTTAAATAAAAAAAAATGCTAGGCATGTGGGTTGAAAGATGTTATAAAAAGTCCTTGATGAACCCTTTAACCTTTAATCAACTGAAATTCTCATCTAATAAAGTCTATGACACTCCAATTCTGCCTTGTAGGGTTTGTATTTTACACAGTTTTGTACCAAGGAGATCATTTGTCTTTGTAGGCTTTTCATCTTGTCCAGTTAGTTACATTACAATCAAGCAAACCAGTCAAGACAGCACAAAGGGAAGTGATCGCTGAAGCGAACAGCTGATATAAAAGCCCCCTTTTACTGTCTCCAAAAGACATATTTAATGAGTGAGACGTCATTCACTGCATGCAAATGTAGCCTAGCAACTAAGAGCTACCAGCTACCCCATACTGAGGTGTTTGTGAGGAAATCATTGAGACAGGCAAGTCAAATCAGCCCTTACATTAACACTTGCCAAAAGGTGCCATTTGAGTGAAATGGGGATGCCGTGTTTCACTCTTAAATATTTTATATTTAAGGAAATAACAGAAATATTCACAGCTAAGTTGTGCAAACAGCAGCTTCATTACTTCCTCAAAATGTCAGAACTTGTTGCTTATTCACACATCCAGCAGATACGGAGCAACTCTTGTGATGGTACATTGTTATTATAAATAAAATACTGATTTGTTATTATTAATAGATAGTCGATTATAGCTTCTTTAACTTTAAATTGGTGGAATATAAGACAAATTTTTTTTTATGATCTTTGAACATATAATAATTGTACCTCAGAAGTGTCCTCTGTAATGTGATACTAATTATAAAAAAATAAAATAAAATACAATATTTATTTTGGTTAGAATATAGTTGGCCCATTTATACCCCTGCGTAGGGTCTAAGTGCGTACCTACGCCATAGGCTACGCACGTAGCCATGCATTTATACTTGTGCGTAGGTGTGTCATTCATTCTACAATTACACCCCCAAATGCTAGTCGGCAGTAGCGCTACAGCGTCCACTGTGTTGACTTTTGCTGGCCGAGCAGGCTAACTTCTGGTTTAGCGCTCTGCTAATGTAAATGGGGGTAAATTATATATATAAATTGCACTTAAGACCAACTGTATTGGAGTCAATGACAAAATGACCCTCCTCACTTTATTTATTACTTCACTTTCCTAATGAGTTTATGGTCTCTGTTACTAGTTTCAAGTCTTCTTCAGTACAGCATGATGTTCATTTAGTAAATTACAGTCTCATTTAGAGTAAAATTAATGATAAAGCAGGGTATGCTTTAGGGCATGGCTAACTTGTGGCTGACAAGTCATTATCACAGCGACCTGTCAGTCTGGATAGAGGTAAATCGAATCCACTGAACTGTGTACATTTAACTAG